TATTCGCCTTAGTCAAAGAAGTGGGACAGTCTAGACACAGCGCTTCCTTTGTCGACTGCGCCGCGTCTAGACTGCCGTGCTGTGCCGGATCAGCTGATCGTCGGCACAGCATGGCAGCCATTTTTATTTTAATGAAGCGGGGATTATTTAAATCCCCACTTCTTTGACTATGCTGAATAAACTATTTTATATGGCTCCATCGACAGAGCCATGTAGTCTAGACGTACCCCCAAGGTGAAGCCGGGACTTTGCCACAGTGCTTATTGGGAAGTGGGTGCCTGGCCTGCTAAGAATGAATTATAACCATGTCTACACTGGCAGATGGAAAGTACCGGCAGCTCCAGCGTGGCTCAAAGAGTGAAGCAGTGAAAATGCCGTTGGGTGTCCGCACTGTCAGCCACCAGCACAGTAGCATGATCACACTTGCGGCACTTACAGCAACTTTCAGAGCGGTGTATTCTGGGCAGCTCACCCATACAGCACCTCTTCCTCTTCTGCTGCTGAGGTTTGTGGGATGGTGGAGAGGAGGTGCAGGACATCCTGGGTCCTGTCCCATACCCCGCGGTGCATCACTTTGCATCCCAGTAACTCCTGTGCGCCTATCCGCATTTGGTACCATCTTTCAATGGTTTCCATGCTGTGCGCTCTGTCGGCCTCCTTGGTCTGTGGGAATGGATCCACAGCTGTTGATGAAAATGCTGATAGGTTTTACTGACATGTCATGAATGGCGATCGAATTATTCCTGAAGTTGCAAAATGATGATGAGGAGTCTCATGCATCATATGTATGACAAAAGATTTCTTGTGGCATTCATGGAGGTGCTGACCACAATGAGATGCTGATTTTGGGCTTGGGAATCAACCAGTGAATAAAGGGATCTTATTGACCTGCAAGTATGGGATGACGAGCAGTGGCTGCAGAGCTTTCAGATGAGGAAAGCCACTTTCAGAGGACTATGTAGTGGGCTTGCCTTCCACCTTGCAGCACAAGGACACATAAGTGAAAGCTACCCTGCCGGTGAAAAGGGATATGGCAATTGAACTGTGGAAGCTGACTATTCCAGACAGCTTCCGCTCAGTCATCAGTCCGTCTGGAATGGGAAAGTCGACCATTGGACTCATATTAATGGAAGTGGGCAGGGCCATCATTCGCATTCTATAGGAAAGGCCGTGACTCTGGGCAACGTGAGTGAAACTGCAGATGACTTTGCTCATGTAGGCTTCTGAAACTGCAGTGGGGTAACAGATGGGACACACATTCCAGTTCTGGCACCAGATCACCGACCCTCTGAGCACATTAGCCACAAGGGATATTTCTTCATGGCTCTCCAGGTGCTTGTGGATCACTGTGGGTGTTTCACAGACATTAACTCTGGCTGGTCGGGAAAGGGGAACGACACTCACATCTTTCAGAACATGGGCCTGTTCAGGAAGCTGCAAGTGGGAACCAGAAAATCACTGTAGGGGAAGTGGAAATGCCCATTGTGATCCTTGGGGCCCTGCCTACCCCTTAATGATGTGTCTCATGAAGTCATTCTGCACCTGAGCAGGTGCAGAATGACTGCAGAGTGCTTTTGGCGGTCTGAAGGCCTGCTAGCGATGTCTGCACAGGAAGCTGGACCTGGCTGATAACATCCCTATGGTTATCGCCATGTGCTGTACTCCATAATATTTGCAAAGGGAAGGGTGAAAGCGTCACTCAGGGCTGGGCCATGGAGGCACAGCACCTGGAGGCAGAATTTGAACAGACTGAGGTGATGGATATTAGAGCAGCACAAGCTGGGATCGTAAGGATCAGGGATGCCTAGTCAAATTGTGGTGGCAGTGATGGGAGAGAGAATGGAAAACAGTTTTGGGACATTGGCTGCAAGGGATTGGGCTGGCCACATGGCTGCTCTGTCTGAAGTGCTAGCAGTGCCTGGAACATGTCCATTTTGCAACCATCATGTTTAGGAGCCACTCTGTGTTCTCCTTCTGCTCCTTTCTCTCACTGTCCCTCCAGTGTGTGTGTTCAGCGGCAGTCACACAAAAACTCCTCTCGACTTCTTTGCAGCTATTTTCTGGCCCTGCAAAGTCTCTCAGCAGGCGGTATCAATACAGACTGCCATACCAAGGCTAACTCTGGCAAGGCAAGCTGCAACATGTTACAGCGGGTCCACTGTCAACATTAGACACAGCACTGCCCCGACCCATTTTAAACACAATCTCTGTTCTCATATGTAGCACTGACTGGCTTCCCAAGAGCGAGCACACATAAGATACAAGACTTCCACATTGGCGAGTTCACAACGGTGGCAGGGGAATTCATTGGTGTGTGTACTGGGTAGAGGGGTGGAAGGAGAATTCATTGGTGTGTGTGTTGGGGGAACGGTGGAAGGGGACTTCATTGGTGTGTGTGTTGGAGGGGGGGTGGCAGGGGAATTGCTTGGTGTGTGTGCTGGGGATGGGGGTGGCAGAGGAATTCATTGGTGTGTGTGTTGGGGAGAGGGGTGGCAGGGGAATTCACTGGTGCAGGGCCATACAGTACTCTGTGCAGTTGTGTCTTCAGAAGAACACTGAAGGGAGCGTCCTATTTTTAGTCAAGGCCACTCACTTTCCAGGCCTGTGTTCATCCTGGAAGACATTACACTGCTTACAGTGAGCAGGAAAACAAAGGATGGTCTTTTAATCAACTGCAGGCTCTGTCCGGAGCCGTACACAGCCTATCTTTGTGCAGCCGTGGTCCCTCTTCCCTACTGATGTCAGAGTAGCGAGGGAATGTTATCCTTAAGGGTACAGGGACCACAGTGGCAGCCTTGACAGAAAATTTACACAGACATGTGGCCCAGCAGCTGCATGACATGTCCGATGAGACCCTGTGAGGCAGATTACCGTGAAGTGAGAGATTGCATCAGCAACCTGTTCAGTATCTGGGTAGCCCTGTGTTGGTAGCAGCAAATCAGGGCAAACCTCCTTTCTGCATCCCTCCTGCTCCCAGCAACACCCTTGAATGCTTCTAGAAATCAAACCCACTTACTAGTCGCATTCTCTGACTACTGCGACTGGCTCACCTCATTGGGGTAGAAAAGAGCTCCCAACTTCAGGCATCACCCTCTGGAGCTGGGTCCTCCTTCCTCTCAGCACATTCCTCTACAATTTCCTCCCCCTGGCTTGGTCCACTCTAGGATGGCTACTGAGCCCCCCAAGTATCCACAGGGGTCTTAGGAGCAGAGGTGGGGTCACCCTAAGTATATCATCCAGCTCTTTGTAGATCCGGCAGGTTGTGGGCACAGCACAGGAATGGAGGTTTGCTTCCTGTGCCTTGTGTTAGCTGTTTCACAGCTCCTTTACTTTGTCCCTGCACTGCAGTGTGTCCTGGTCCTGGCCCCATTAGGCCACGCATCTTGATGTGCATTCCTATTACAGCTGGAGAGAAGCTGGGACTGGCAGCCTCTACTCCCAAAACACCGATGAGGTCCAGCACCTCGGCATGGCTCCCAGCAGGGGATCTCCTGGTGCATGGAGCAGGCATGGCCAGCTGGAAAGAGGCGCTGAGAACACACCACGTGTTGCTGAGCAAACAGGGAGGGGTCTTTCACATTTCCAAAGTAAAACAAAGGGCAGGTCTGAGGGCTGGTCACTTGTGGGAGTGGTTTGGGTTTCTTCCTTTGATCTGGACTCTGTGCTTTCGGACGGGTACCTGCCCTCCTTAATTGGTTTTTAGATTCAGTTCCAAATACCCTTTAACTGCATTACCTTAGTACCCGACCGATTCCAAAATCTGCTTTCACTCTTACCAGAGGTTCAAAGAAATATCTGAATATCCATTTAATCCATAGCGCATTCTCTCTGGTGTATTAATTATGATATGTTGTGTTATCTTACTAAAATTATAGAACAGCCCCATCATAGAATTATATTGGGGATATTAATTGTTATATTGCTTTTGCTTATTAAAGGTTTCATATTTGATTGTTGCTGTAAAAGATGTGGTAATAGAAATAGCTTTTATGTTTGTACTAATTATGTAATGTTTAATGAAAATAAAGGTTTAGAAAGGTAGTTGTGCTGTAAGCACAAAAGGGGGGACTGTGGCGGCAGGAAAAGGGAATAAGGGAATTTGTGTGCAGCCATCTTGGTCTTGTTAACAAAAGAGCAAGAGTCAGGCTAAGTCTGTGGCCTGACAACGCGAGATCTGTAATTAGACGCTGCCTTCGCCTCTCGCCTCCATACGGAGATAAGGATAGAATGCTGACTCTGGCAGGGACCTTGAGATAAGGAGCATCTGGGTGGAACTAAAATAACTGTTAGCCATTGGTGTTTGTAATGGGAAGGAGACTAATTGTTATTGTTATTATATCTAATGGACTGTATATAAACTGCTTCATAATTGCTTGTATTCGAAGATCTGTCTCGGGGGGGGGGGGGGGGGGGGGCTCCCCCTGTCCGAACCAGTTTTTCCCTTGCTGCAGCTCGTAATAAAACTGCCTCTGGCTACTTGTTGCTTACAAACGCAGAGTGAGGACAATGTTTTCTTCCACAATTTGAGAAGTAGAGTTCAAACAGATAACCAGAGAGGCAGCACCAGGCATTTTGGGACTGGCATGGGAGGAGAGTTAGGATGCAGTGCTACACCACAGTGTCCACACTGGCACCCCAGCACTGTATCCAGAGCATAGCAAGCTGCACACATCTCATCCAGGTGGTTTACCTACAGCGCAGCTACTGCAGAGCTATTGCGCAGCAAGTGCCTTGCCAGTGTGGGCACCGCGGAAGTTACATTGCTGGGGGCTGATTTACTGCGCAGTAACTGGCCAGTGTAGACATGGCCTATTATCCTCCTCAACTCATAAAAACACCAAATAGCCATCAGAGAGATGCTTTTTGGTCACTTCTGATTTGGAGCAGAAGCAGAAGAGGGGGGCATGCTGGAAACTCCACAGTCTGGCCTCAGCACTCCTGAGCCATTTGGTCTCCTCAGGCTTTAGAAAAAAGTTACCTTAATTAAAACCTGTGCTTACCTTCCACTGAGGCAGCTAGGTGAAATAGGAAGATCAGCCACAGCCAACCCATTCCCACTGCTCTTCTCCTCGCCCTTAAGGCAGCGTTAAGATCCATGTAGCTTCTCCAGAGACTCCACCATCTCCAAATAGTGCTCCCCACTCCCTTCAAGAGTTCCAAGGAGGTGTCAGGGACTCTGCAAGCCAAAGCACAAGTGCTTCCACACAACAGGTGTGACTGGGGAGAGACAGAAGAAAGGAAATCAGGTAGCCACAATTTCAAGCTCAGACATGGCAGCTTCATAAATACCAAATGCAGCCCTATCCCAGCACAAGCTGTGTCTGATCATTAGTTGCAGAGTTTATATCACAGACTGAATACAAGCGGTCCCAGCACTGCATTCTCTCCACCGTATCCCCCAGATTTAGGAGGCTTCCAGACTCCTGAAAAGCTGCTGTCTTGGCAGGGAGTGCTTCATTAAGTCACTATTGACTCAGAATGGTGCTAGGACAGTGTTTCGCAAATGTGGCCACATGGAGTCACCATGGGCTTTTATTGTGGCCACAGTTTCCTGGACAATAATGGCAGAAGAGGGGGAGCACCCAGGGCCTCCAGCAGTGGTTGGGCCCCCGCCCTGCCCTACTTCCCTCTGGAGACACAAAAGATGGAGGAGAAGGCAACAGGTGTGAGTTCCCCACCTTCCCAGAGGCAATGGGGTCAGATTTCAGCCTGGCATGGAAGGCTCCAGCCACAGGCTTCAGAATCCATTCCTTGACTGTGCAGTGGTGGGCTCTGGCCCACAGTTCACCCTTCCTATTGTCCCCCCGCTCCCATCCATACTCAGCTTCCCATCCAGGACTTGCAGGGCTTGCCAGAGCTTAGTACATCTGCTGTGAAAAGTGGTATTTGCGTGTTTGTTAATATCACTTTTCACAACAGACTTAGGAGCTAGAATTGACCAAATTCTAGTAACCAAAAAAGAAAAAATAAACAAGAAAAAAAATACAAGAGTGAGCAAAGCACTTTGTGTTTCTGTGCTGTTTATGCCCAGTAAAGAACTGTAAATTATTTTTATTACTGAGTCTGAAAAAAAACCTACATAAAGGAATTACAATGATTAGGACATACATACATGCACAGTCACTTGTTTTACCTAAAGTTAATTATGCATTTTAGGGAAAATGTCAGAGCAACCACCAAAAAGTTTGTGGTGAAAATCCCTATGCTAGGCCAGACTCCACACACACCTGAAGCACTCTGACTGGGAAAGCGGCATTGCAAAGGGGATTCTTGCAGCCAGGGTGGCCAGGTGTCCGGTATTTTCCCTCCGCCTCCCCTACTCTCCACCCTCCGGCCAGCTCCGCTCCCCCCAACCAGCCCTGCTTCCCCCCAGCTGACCCCCACCCCTGATCTTCCCCAGCCAGCCCCGTTCTAGTCCCTTCTCCTCCTTTCCCTCCTCCCAATCAAGTGTGTCTGGTATTTTTTCTGAAGCTACCTGGTAACCCTACTTGCAGCCTACTGCAGTGCAATAGCTTTGTAATACCAGGCCTTTGTGGGCCCAGCCATTAGCAAATATTGCTTAATCCCCATCCCTCTGCACAAATGTCATGGATGCATATAGGTTACTCACAGGAAACAATAAGTTTTGTTTCTTTAGGGCACCCTTCATGCAGCAGGTATTTTTTCTGAAGCTACCTGGTAACCCTACTTGCAGCCTACTGCAGTGCAATAGCTTTGTAATACCAGGCCTTTGTGGGCCCAGCCATTAGCAAATATTGCTTAATCCCCATCCCTCTGCACAAATGTCATGGATGCATATAGGTTACTCACAGGAAACAATAAGTTTTGTTTCTTTAGGGCACCCTTCATGCAGCATCCCAAAAAACATTTCAGGGAAACAGTCAAGCATAAGCTAAATAGAAAGTCAAGGATCTCAGGCAACACAGAAAGAGGGCAAATGGCTCAGCTGGAGGGGGGAGGGTAGAGTTGCAATTAGAAGAGGCAGCCAGGCAAGGACCATCTCCAGATCCAACCAGGAGGAAAGAAAAGCAGGAGCAAATTTGAGAGAGCAAAGGGCGGACAGTTTGGGATCAGGTAGTGGAGTGGAATTTGATTTGCTTTCTTTGTGAAAGTGAAAGAGGCATCACCAGTCAAAGAGGAGAGTGTCCCTTCCTATAGTACCAGAGAGGCTGCACTAGAATGTTGAATATAGAGGAATTAGAGTCACCCCACACTTCAGGAAGATGTAGAAAAACTGAAGGGAGCTCTGAGAAAAACAAGAAACGTGATTCAGGGGCACTGATTTGTGAGGAGAGATACAAAGACTATAACTGGGACTAAAATGTATGTGTTTGGGGGACGGGGATATAATAATTTCTTCCAAGTCTTATTAAAGGTGTAAACACTGATAAAGGAGAGAAGCTGATGACAGGGGTCCCAGAAGAGTAAAGGGATGAAACAGAGAAAAGGGGAATATTTCAGACAGGGTAAACAGGAAATGTTTCCTAACCGTGAGAACTATTAGACTGTGATGAAATAATCTCCCTTAGGGAAGTGGCTCCTTGCGTTTAAAACTAGACTGAGCAATGCCTGGGAGAATAGTCTGTAGAGAGCTATAAATAATAAACATCAGCCCTCCTATTCCGCTTTTAATACCTAAATAGAAAAGCTCTTTACTACATTAGCAGACCCCTGAGAGGGAGATATTGTAAGTATTGAGACCACTGTTCTACAAGGAGGTAAACAGAGGAACAAAGACAAATTAAGTCCAGGTGTTAAGTGCAGAAAACATCCGTTGAAGCTAAAGGAATTACGATCACTTCTCTTAGGCCTGAATTTGGCCCAAAGTGACATGACTTGCCCAGTGTCAGGCAGTAAGTCAGAGACAGATCTGGGGACAGAACCCAAGAATCCTGATCTTGTTCAAACAACCAGATCTCAGTGTCACGTCTAGACTACATTCCTCTGTCAAAAGAGGAATATAAATGAAGCAAATTGAAAGTCCAAAGAAGCATGGATTTAAATATCCCGCACTTCATTTGCATATTCACGTTCGAGCACTTTATCGGAAAAGGGTATTTTAAAAAGTGAAAGAGCAGTCTAGATAGGGTTCTTTCAAAAAAAGGCCCTTTCTCGAAAGAACCCATACTCCTGAAAAAATGAGTGATCAGAGAGGGTGTGGGGCCCCTACTGGATGAGGGAGGTAACCTGGGGTATGTCTATACTACAGCGTTATTTCAAAATATCTTCCCGCCAGCTCTGCTTCCCGCCCCCCCTTCCTCCCAGCCCCCTCCTTCCTCCCGGCCAGCA